GTAACATTTTTGCGAAGTATTTTGAGGAACTGTTGAACTGTGAAGAACCTCAGGAAAGAATGACAACGGTCGATAATACGCCTCCTGAAGCAGAATCATATCCACCAGATGATGAGGAACTGGATGAAATCATCGCATCCTTAAAGAACAACAAAGCGGCAGGAGAGGACGGTGTACTTGCCAAGATGTGGAAACTGACTGGGGATGACTTCAGAAGGGTAATCATGGAGCTGATAATGGATATCTGGAGCGAGGAGAAGATTCCCCAAGAATGGAAAACAGCCTTAATACACCCACTACATAAAAAGGGAGATAAAACTGATGTGAATAACTACAGGAGAATCTCCCTACTACCGGTCACCTACAAGATTTCTCAAAGGCTTTACTAAACAGACTCTGTCCACAAGTAGATTCTAAAATCGGGGAGTACCAAGGTGGTTTTAGAAAAAATAGATCATGTCAGAAACAAATTTTGAGCCTTAAGCTATTAATTAAACACTACAGGACTAAAAGTAAAAAGAACCTTTTTATCTATTTCGTCGATTTCAGAAAGGCTTATGATTCGGCAGATAGGAAAACACTACTTGAAGTACTAAAAGAATACGGAGTTGACCAAAAAACTAGAAAATTGATAGGGCTAACGATGACAGCGACTGAATCTAAAGTTAAATTCCAAGGAAATATCAGTGAATCATTTCAGATCAAAACGGGACTCAGGCAGGGAGACGGGTTTTCTCCAACACTGTTTAACATAGTACTCGACAAGATCATAAAGGAACTATGGAAAATCAACAATTCCGGTTCAACCCTAGGTACTAAGAACAATAACGTCAAAATTGGATGTCTCGCATACGCAGACGACGTTGCCCTTTTATCAGAAACTGAAGAAGAGGCGATTGCCCAAATAAACACCATCTCGGAAATAGGCTTACAGATATCTTTTGAAAAGACGGAATTGATGACCACGGACGCGAATTTTAAGAAGAAAAAAATTAAAACCAAATACGGAACGATTAAAGTAACTCAGAGATTTAAATACCTTGGAGAAATCATATGCAGCAATGGGCCAGAGAGAGAAGGGCTCAAGGAAAGAATAGAGAAATAGAGAAATTAAGCTTCGCCACCAGTGAGCTTTATAAAAAGAAGAACTTATCTCTAAAAGCCAGAATACGACATTATAACACGGTCGTCAAGCCAGTGGTACCCTACGCAACAGAAACTTCTTCTCTTCCCAGCCTAGAAAGCCTTCTAAAAATAGAAAGAAGAATTCTCAGAAGAATCTACGGACCTAGGAGAACACCTGAAGGATACAGGTTGAGGTCAAAACAGGAAATATATAAGGAAACAACGGATCTAGAAACTGACACTAGGGTGGGAAGGCTGAGGTTCTATGGCCATATGATAAGGATGAATCCTGAAAGACTTAACCATAAAATCTTTCAGCGCATCCACAGTCATAAGAATTTAAGCGGGTATTTTAAACAGATTAAGGATGATATGGACCAAGTGGGGCTAAGAGACCAAGATTGTTTGGACAGAGATGAGTATAGGAAAGCGCTCAAGAGAATAACGGTTCTTGCGAGAAAGAAGCACTCCAAAAAGGGTGTTGCGTGGTCTGAGGAGAGAAAACATAAACACGCGGAGCTCATGAAGGGCATATGGGAGAAGAGGAGGCAGATGAAGAGAAAGCATTAACTTCATGGTATTCGCGTGGTCTTTAAGGCCTGTTCGTGAAAAAATAAAAAAAATATGCGTAAATATTTCAAAATACAGTCCACTTTCTTTTAATTACAATCGACTTAATTTAAATAATAGTTAGGCTTCATTCAAAGTTTGATTAAACTAAGAGGATGCTTAACACGTGGTATAATTAATGGTTTAGGATCAGCCCTCAGTTTGCTGACAGGAACTATGGATGTAGATGATAAAGAAAAATATGACACCATCCTACAAAAAGTTGAAAGTAATTTATATCACATAGAACATAACGAGGAATCTAGGCTTAGCCTCAACCGGAAATTAACACATAAATTAAATAAAGATATTATAATTTTAAATAACTTTAAAAATAATATAGAAACATATAATAAAGTGATAGATTCCACAATAGTCAAATTATTCTATCATGAACTTTTAGTATATTTAACTCTCATAGAAGCTCAATTGCAAGAAACAGAAGATGCATTAGAACAATGTAAACTAGGCATGACACACCCCAGCATTTTACCGTATGATGAAATTAAATATATAAAAACCCCATATAAAAATTTATTAACAAGAGATGTAGAATTGAATTGGTTATTACAAAAACAGATAGAGACATCCTGCCAACCAGCCTCACTTGTTATTCACCTGGCACAGAGATACTCCGAATAGAAGTTATCCTGCCAATCTGTCCACTATTGGCAACAACTGGCGCATCGATGGTTTACCACAATTGTAGCCATCGCATCGACCTGCCTTCAATTGGTGAAACTGGGCATAGACTTGTCCTCGACTCACTGAAGGCATCCGCCACATCACTCTCAAGGCACCGACTGGCATGATGATGTTCTCTCAATACCTTTCTAGGACAGATCTTCTAGGCAGCGAAAATCAACAATAAGTGAAACAGCTTAACCCTCCCATCTGTACAATTATAACATTACCCCTAACAAACACCTGACTGATATTGGAATCAATATTGGACCTTAGGGGATAACCATATTATTTGGACAAATCATCCGGACTTCACCAATGACTCTGTCATCTCGAAGGGGAGTCCTGTGACGGCAGCAGATTCCTGCCATTTGCTATAAGGGACAACTAGTTCACTTGCCCATTAGGTGATTATTAATATGATTATTATAAAATAATAATACTACCTAGCAGCGCCACACAAGCTTGCTAGTGCAATGTACCTAAACAATTGTATTTTTGTTTCTTGTTATACGATAAAATACTCAAATATAAGTAAAGCTGTTTGTTCAATGTCCGATTCGGAAATGATTTATTTCTTTATTAAATTACCACTAAGGGTTGCCTCTTCGACTACATATTGCATACTGCCATACCTCATTATTTATTAAGAAAACATTGTAACTATTCTAGTCGAAAATACTTTAGTTATACGACATAATAACCAGTTTTATAAAGGACAATGTTTAGTATATAATTCCAACTTTTATTGTAATTATAAAAGTTTTAGTTTAGTATAAGATAAGTATACATCAGAATTAAGTAATAACCCAAATTGAAATTGTAAAATAATAGAAATTTCCCAAAAAACATCAATTAAACCAATACCTAGACTTTTTTTTTTCCTGTTCTTCCCTACCTCGCCTTTTAGGCTATACGGGATTTTCCCAGACCAGAGGGTGAGGGCGGGAAATTTAAAATCCCCTCTGGGACCGGGACGCGAACTCATGACTATTTTCATATCATAGAATCATATATCCGGTTGCCGAGCAACGGCGGTGCAGTGCACACGCGTTAGCCCATTCGGCCACCCTGCCCTCAATACCTAGACTTAATCAATATCTCACCTTTAATTTATCTACTTGGGTTTTGGGTCCCGTCTTCTACATTCTTTTTACCACTGATATTCCTACTCATCCCGAAACCTCCTGGCAACATTCACTGATGACACAGCAATCCTATCTTTCAATCCAGATCCTGAAACAGCATCCTTAAACTTACAAAGTCATCTTTCTCTTATTGAACACTGGTGTAATCAGTGGAGCATCCAAGTAAATGAATCCAAATCCAAACATATCACTTTTACCCTTCGGCGCCTGTCCATCAGTCTATTTCAACTCCATACCTCTTCCTCTCTCCGACACAATCCGGTATCTTGGCTTTCTTCTATCTTGGAAACTTTAGTGGAAACCAGACTTATTGGAAAGATAATAACTTGACAGACGATACGGGCAGCTATATAGACTAATGAATAGAAAATCACAACTTTCAATCGACAACCAACTACTAATCTACAGGACAATCCTGAAACCTATCTAGACCTACGGACTAGAACAGCAAAACTTCTAACATTAAACGCATTCAACCTTTCCAGTTTAAAGTCCTCCGAACAATAGTCGATGTTCCCTTCTATGGGGTTGTATATATATTGGCTAATTTAATATTTATTATTGAAAAGAAATTAGTTGGAGTGTTCAGTCATAAGTCTATCTATCTATCTTAATGGCTGTACAACCCTTAGTGGGTCCTGGCCTCCTCAATGAGCTTCCGCCAAATTTCTCTATTCTATGTGGCTGCTTTCCAATTCCTGACTCCCATCAAGTCTATCGCTTCACCTGCCACACCATCTGCCCATCTCAATTTTGGTTTGCGATTTCTCCTTGTATAGTGTAATGGTTCTTCAAGCACTCTTATCGGGATTTCAGACCTCTACATACGAGCTATGTGTCCTGCCCAACTTAACCTTCCTAATTTTATTATTCTTGCCACATTAGGTTCATTAAACAATTCGTAGACCTCTCTATTCTTCCGAATTCTCCAATCCAGTCCCTCCTTTACAGGGCCAAATATTCTTCTGATGATTTTCCTTTCAAAGACCAGAAATTCTTTTTCGTCATTTTGGCTAAGGTCCATGTTTGGCTACCGTAGGTAATTAAGTTCTTAATAAGAACTGGCCGGATGAGCGTTTTATATAGCTGTAGCTTCGTTCGTCTACTACGTAGTGAGCTTCTCATGTGTTTAAGTAGGCCAAAATAGCATCGGTTGGCAGCTGCTATTCTCCGCTTTCATTTCAAGTGTCCTCTCATTTTTTGTCGTAATTTGAGATCCTTGGAGGACTTTCATCGATGAGTTTAGAAACAGTCTGTTGAATTTTCGATACATTCGATGGGTTTAGCTGAGTTTAGAAATTTAATTTTCCGATTTATTACGTCTTCTCACATTTAGAGAATATTACTCTATTTAATTTATGTTATATTGAACATATTAGTAGCTTTGCTCCTTGGAAATCGATAATATTTCACATTAGTAACCTTTAACAAATAGTCTACTTTAGTGTTACCAATTGTTATTTACAATGGGTGAAGTGTTCTATGATGATGTTATTGTTAGTAATAAGGATAGGGAAGCAATATTGCTGGAATTTCAGGAGCCATACCAGATTTCGGATCAAGGATCAAGTTCAGCGAGAATTGATAATTCTAACAATGCCAATGTTCCAAATAATGGCCCAGTACCAGAAACTCCTACCATATTTTCATTATCTTACTTCCAAAAATTCTTTAATGTCAATACAGAGGATGTGGTTAAAAGGATAAAGGATTCCATGGTACCTAGTTTAAAAGCTGATTATTATGAATCACTAATTAAAGCAAGGCCCGATTTGTATGGTCCAGTTTGGGTTTGCCTTACTTTATCCTTTTCTTTAACAATTGGATCCAATCTTTTTGATTACTTTAACACTAACAGAAACCAAATGGAGCATTGGAAATATGGGTTCCATGTTATTACCAAAGCATTGTTTGCTGTATTCGTTTATTCATGGGTACTCCCTATAATGTTATGGAGTTTATTGAAATGGTATTTATCATCTGAGGTAGGAAAAAGCAAATTTTATTATATTAATTGTTAATATAATTTATTATGGTTTTCACTTAAACACCCAAGTTTTCATTTTAAATACATGATATCTTATCATTGAAGCTCATGAATTATATTGTTATTTCATCATTATTTACGCTCCTATTTTTTTATTAGGAACTTGTAATTTTTATTATTATGCTTTAATATTAAATGAATATGATTAAAATCTTTCACTGGTTCCTACTATCTTTTTTAAGTTGAAAATAAACCACTGTTATTTTCTATCAATCAAGACGTGTTCTGATATATTGCTGTAAATTTGGCTAATTCTAATTCTAAGATGACTGGAGATCCGAGAACCTAACATTTCGATAGGAGGACTGCGGTAATCATTCCGCCAAGACTAAATCGGCTATCAAGAGCCGTTACAATGACAGTTATTTTTAAGCTTTGATCAGTATATGTTATTGTCATTAAACTTTATTAATAAAAAATATTTACAATGTATATACATATTTCAATTTCCAATTTGAGTATTTTATCATCAGAAACAAAAATACAATTGTTTAGGTACATTGCACTAGCAAGCTTGTGTGGCACTGCTTGGTAGTATTATTATCTTATAATAATCATAATAATAATCACCTAATGGGCAAGTGAACTAGTTGTCCCTTATAGCAAGTGGCAGGAATCTGCAGCCGCCACAGGACTCCCCTTCGAGATGACAGAGTCATTGGTGAAGTCCGGATGATTTGTCCAAATGATGTTATCCCCTAAGGTCCAATATTGATTCTAATATCAGTCAGGTGTTTGTTTGGGGTAATGTTATAATTGTACAGATGTGAGGGTTAAGCTGTTTCACTTATTGTTGATTTGCGCTGCCTAGAAGATTTGTCCTAGAAAGGTATTGAGAGAACATCATCATGCCAGTCGGTGCCTTGAGAGTGATGTGGCGGATGCCTTTAGTGAGTCGAGGACAAGTCTATGCCGTGCTTCACCAATTGAACGCAGGTCGACGGGATGGCTACAATTGTGCTAAAACATCGATGCGCCGGTTGTTGCCAATAGTGGACAGATTGGCAGGATAACTTCTATTCGGAGTATCTCTGTGCCAGGTGAATAACAAGTGAGGCTGGTTGGTAGGATGTCTCTGTCTGTTTTTGTCTATAGGGAGATGGTACAGCAGGCATTGTATGCATTTGTGCAGTTGTTGTAGTAGTCAAGTTGGGCTTGATTTAGCATCCAAAGCGAGTTCCTTTTTCTTCCTGAGGTTGCCAGCCTTGGCCACTATGTGGTGACTACAAAATTTAAGGGATGATTTAGCTATGTAGAGATTGGTTCTTGCTCCTGTTGATATATTTGCGTGCAGCTGTGTTAAGAGACTTTAGGTTGGTTGAGGACGTTGCTTCAATTTGTAAGCTAGAGCTGTCTAGGATTCTCCTTTGGACAATTGGAGTATTTCCTAATACAAGCATAGTTTGTAGCTGAATTTAGTCTGGTCTTGAAAGTTGTGACTGCTGAATTTTAAAAGGCTGTGGTTTGAAGCAGGTTGCGTTACGGAGTCGCTAGATGGGTTCATCCATCATACAGTTGTTTTTGAATGATCTTGTAGTGGTCCTAGATAGAAGTAAATCTGAGGAGCTTGTCCTTGATCGCTTGGTCCAGTATTCCTCTGTCATCTTCTTCCTTCTTTCTCAGATCACATCTAGGTCACCAATTATCAAGGTATGAGACACAGAGGATAAATATTCCAGGAGGAAGTCCCTGCTTTGTTGGTTTAAATTCTGAAAATCCATTTTTGTACCTGATCCTAATGAATCTTTGGAAAAGGAAGGAGGCCAGAAACCTGTATAGATATCCATGTATCCCCATTCCAACAAGCTTGTCCAGGAGTTTTTCCTCCAGACCCTGTCAAAAGCTGTTCTGAAGTCAACAAGTACAGCTAAGGAGCTTTGTTTTCGATGGCAGCCGTCTTTCACTTCTTGTGAAAAATGAACAATCTGTTCGACTGTGCTTCTGCTTATCCTGAACCCTGCTTGTAATGGAGATAGTATACCATTTTGCTCTACGACTGTCAGTAGTCTGTGTATTGCCATCCTTTCCAGTAACTTACAAAAACAACTTGTCAGTGCTATTGGCTTGGAGTTTTCTAGTTCGTCAGGCTTCTTACCACTTTTTAATATTTGTATCACCTCTGCCTTTCTCCTTTCATTTGGTAGATGTGTCCAGATTAGGTTTTGAAAAGGGAGGATGACATTCTTGACTTTTTTCCCTAAATATTGAAGGAATTCATGAAATATTTTATCAGGCCCCAGGGACGTTCCTCCTGAGAGATTTTGTGTATCAACTTCCATTTCTACCAACGTAAGTGACTTGTTAAAAACTCTCAATTGCTCCTCAGTCAAGCAGGTTGATGGAAGTTTTGTTTGAGGCTGTTTTATTTTGGTCTTGAAATTGCTTATAGTGCAATAGTCCTTACAAAAATGTCAAGCTATGTCCTTCTCATTCGTCAGAAGCTTAGATTCTGTCTGGATTGGGCTGTTTGAATGTAATGTATTATTGTTCAGCTTTGATGAAAACCTGTGCACTTTAATGGCATGTTTTCTGAAATCAAGTTTCTCGAGAAAGGATCTGTAAGCTAACCTTTTTGACTGTTTATAACATTCTTTAGTTCAGCTCCTCGATACTTGAGCTTAGTTCTTTCTTTGGTTTGTCCAGTCATTGCTTTTTCTAGGGCCTTATCATCTGATTTCTAGGGCGTTATCTTTTATATTTTTCTAGTTCCTTGTTCCAAAATGGTGTGAACTTCTTGACCTTGACTTCAGGAATGGACAGCTTTGCTTACTCAATAATAGCATTCTTTATATTCTTCAGTGCTCCGTCGACATTACATTCTACAAGGTCTGAGGTAAGAAGCTCATCAGTTTTATTTGCATATGTTTTCCAATTTCTTCATATTCCAGACTGAAGCATTTCTCTTCGTTATACATTTTTGTGGTTATGCAAGTTCAATGCTGAGAATCTTGTGTCCAAAGCTTCCACGAGAGTTAATCAGGTTATGGTTAATATTGTCGGTCAGGGCAGGGTGCGCCAAGACTACATCAGGATGTGATAAGTGTCCATTGTACGATAAAAAGGTAGGACTGCCTTGGTTGTTGTCAATAAACATTACTGCGTTTGCGTCTATAAAAACTTCCCATATACTTTCAACACCATCAGTAGTCGAGTAGACGATGCATTTAAATCTCCACAAATGATGCAGTTTGGATCCCACAGTTGTTCACGCCATTCCAACTTTGGCTTGTTTCGAGATGGATTGTAAATAACATAGAGGCGCTTGTGCATATTTTCTATCCAGACCTCCATCTCTGCCGCTTCAAGAATATCCAGTTGAGGCATCTCCTTCCTACAGTAAATCTTGAAGTAATTGACTTCTTTATAAACATTATAATGCCAGATGAATGGATTCTTGCTCGAGGCACAGAGTATGCTTGGTATCCACTAATCTGGAAGAACTTCAAATTTTCTGAATCTGCTAGAGTGATGTGTCCCCTTTAGGGTTTTATATTTTATCGGGATGCCACTGGATAAGTATTGAGCATAATTATCCAGAATTATTTAATAAGAATTAATTAATAAAAGATTCGTTAAACAAATTTGATCCAGAATTAATTAATTGGATTACTTCTCACAAAGGCTGGTGTGTATTTATCGTAGTTTCTAATTACCAAACATTACCTGTGATTATAATGATGTAAATAGGTGGCATGATTAAAATAATTTTTATTTACAAACTTATTTTATTTCTATACTTAAATAAAGAATATATACAAATTATTTCAGAAATCTTAATGTGCAAACAATATATACAACAAACTAAATAATAAACATGATTCAGTAATTGGTTGTGAAAGCATGGTTTCAGATGGACTGTTTTATAATGCCATGAAACATTTTATGTCATTATGATTAGACTTAGCTATTATAGTACATGAAGTGGTGTATTTGGTAGATGTCATCTGCGAAGTCGCGATCATTTCACCCCCCATGAACTTTCTAAGTTGATTGTGTCCTTCACGATTAACTGGCTTTATCATTGCATATTATTCCCTTAAGATTCTGGCTATAAAAACGCCTTACCAATATAGTTTATCTCTTGCTACTTTACAAGTAAAGATTTTACGGAAGTTTTATTTTTAAAAATCTTTTAGTTAAAAAGTTTGCATTTCGGCAAAAAAAGTCTATTTAAAAATGAATTTTATTTTTATTTACTCAAACAGACGACACAGTAAGAGTAAAGTAATTTATTTATCATTTAAGAACATAAATTAATAAAAGTTAAACTTTTGTCATAAACCAAGAACTTTATCACAAAAAGTTAGTTGGGACTTGAATTTTTAAAACTTATTTCTTAAAAAGTTTCACAGAATCCGTTTAGAGTTTAAACCACTGGTTTAATAATACATAATAAATGTGTTAAATAAACATTATAAGGAGAGGTTCAGTATGAGATAAAAGAATATGACAAGGGAAAATTGGCCCAAATGATTTATTTTTAATTTATAAAGTATTGTATGTTAATAGATAATTTTTTTTTTTTAATTTTATTTATTGCATGTTAATACATTCTGCCACATTAAAGAGCATTAATATTAGGGATACAGTAATCATTTACAATATGTACAAACAAATAATAACTAAAATAGAGAAAATAAAAAAAAAAACTAATATAACAAAAAATGAAATACTAGATAGAAGCTAAAATAAATTAAACAAATTCCCACCTAGATACAATAATAGATAATAGATAATACAAATAATTAATATATAGCTATAGTAAGGTTGTGATTGTTGTTTTAAAAGTTTCTTCCCTTGAAAATGGTTTGAAGGGCTGAAATGGGTGTAAAGAAAAAATAAATTAGGGATGAAAATGGAATGTGTTTTATAATAAAAAATTGAATTGAAAATTGAAGTCCTAACACACAACATTAAAAAAAATTATTGTCATTAAAT